ATGAGGTTTGCTAAACAATTAAGGCAAGTCGGCGATAAGAAGGCCTTTCGGTGAATCGCCGACTACTTTCGGTGAACATGCGCTTATCCGCCGAAAGTCACAGTGTGCAAGTGTTTAAGGGGTATAAGCAAATGGCGATAAGAATACATTCGGCGAGTCACCGAGTGCTTTCGGTGCCCTCAGACTTCTCGCCAACACTTATAGTATCAAATATCAATCAAGGTGCCAAATTATCGGCAAGATGGGGGGCTTAGGAGAACCGCCGAGTCATTCGGCAAGCTCGACCTAGCTCACCAATCGACCCAACGTGCCTAATTTCAACCCATCTTCTCGAATGTAACCCCGCAACCCCCGAAAACAAAATCAAAGCATGCACTAATGAAATTCAAATGGGACCCATACTACCCATCACCCCGAGATACTCAGGTTTCTCCCAGTTTTTTTGCATTTGGCCATTTGACCATATTTTCTCTTAAGAGTGGTGTCACCCGCTCTATCATTGAGCAAATTTTTGACATTTAGCACAAACGTGGGCTACTTAGACTTCACCCAATCAATCTAACAACACACAATCATGACCCAACTCATTAAAAAGCACAAAAATTATGGGCATTTGATAATCAAACAATACGGGCAAGATTTTCAAATTAAAATAGCCATTTAAGCATTCTAATCCTATCAGAGAGGTCCAACACACATCAATACGATACTATTATTGCAAAAGAGTTCAAAATTTTCAATAATATACTCAGGGTTTGGAAACCAACCTTAGATGCCAATTAAAACGTGATTGAAAAGCTAGGCGGCAAAGTATTCCAACTCTGAGCACACAACAAACTAAAATGCTAGTAAGGTGCTAAAATAAAGAAAATACTACCTTAGTGTGAATTTAGGAGGTTTAAGAGCGAGGGAAAGTAAAGAATTTCAAATTTTAAGTTTCTTGGCCATTATAAACCATCCAGTTCGCGCTTATTCGGCAACGTTAGTCGCACTCCCTGATTTACTCGGCAATTCGCCTAGTGATCACCTTCCCCGCCGATTGCTAAAGTTCTTTCAGCTTCTTGGGGGTCAAGACGGCAGTCTACATCAAGGTCACTGACCTGGTCAGCGACGCGCTAAACTGCTTCGTAAGTTTGCCGAGTTTTACAGGCTCTGACTTAACCTTGAATTGAGCCAAACGGCGGGTCAAGTCGGACACGCCAATCTCTTCAGCGATTAGCCGACTGACCATTTTACTCGCCAATCTGTATTTTCCAAACACTTTCAGCTTCTAAACCTACGCACTAACACACCATTATTTATAAAAGCAAAATAAAGCATTTAAAACCTTGGGTTGCCTCCCAAAAAGCACCTTTTTTAACATCGTGGCACCACGCGAATCACATTCTATTGATGGGGTTGTCCCTAGTGTTACTAGGTAACCCCAATAGTTCATTTGGGCGAAGAGGAGGCACCGCGTAATTCAGGAGTGTCCTAATCAGCTGGATCGATCTAGAATAAGAGTCAACCATTTGATTCAAAACATCAATACTCTCATTCATCTCTTCTAACATTTGATCTTGTTCGGTGATCTTTTGGAGAATGATTTGGAGTGAGTCTTCGACACGATTGTTCTCCCTGTATCTATACTGATTCCTCTCGTTAGGAGGTATGTACCTCCCTTAACTCTTGCACTGGTTTTCCACCTCTGATAATTTGATGCACAACTCGTTCAGTTGAGTTACCAGTGCAGTTAACTCGAAGTCCCTATCGATTTCTTGGCTCGTTTCAGTAGAGTTGTCACCATTTCCCCCAGTCATGCTTAGGGTACCTACCTACATCAACAAATTCAAAGGAAAAAAAACTAAAAATAAAGTTAGTAAACTACGACTACCAAAAGAGAAATTCGTCTTAAACCAAAAACTTTCACGTAACACCACTCCCTGATAGCGGCGCCATTTTGATGTTTGCGTATTCAAGACACAACTTGTGATGCAAGTGTCTACGATCGTACAATAGTTTAATAACCCAACCAAAGGTTGGGGTCGAGTCCAAAGAGATCGGGCGTGAAAATTAGTGGTTAAGTGCGAAAGTGCTAAAGCTAACCGTAGCTAAAAACTTTGGCGAAAGAAAACATAACAAATTTAAAAAGGGTGACGCAAGAGTCAAGTATCAAATGGGGGTTTTGTCACAAGTAAGTAAAAACAACAAAATTAACAAAGATTTCTAAGTAATGAGAGGGGATCCTTGGGATGTGATGGGAATACGGGTTAAGCTAGATTATTGGGTACATGCTTTTATAGAGAACTCGTAGAGTAATTATGACTAGGCTAGACTTTAAGGGGGTAAGCTCTCTCTTGAGCAACTTACCACGTTTCTAGCGGGTTACTCTCGGACACCCACTTGCAGCATGAAGAACAGCCTCCGCCTTAATCCAGTCATTCTCTCATGCTGAGTGTGTGCACATGGGACTAGGGTTCACTCTCTCGAGCTGAACCTCATGTCGACCCACTCGCACTGGCCATCAATTTAGTGGTCTTAGTTTTACGACCTCTCTCTCTCGAGCAGGCCGAAAACACATATATGATATTATATTTGCAACTACAACCTCATTAAGTTCATCCACAACCACTAAACGAAATCACATTTAAACTACAAATAGACTATCAGTAAACAAGACCCAACAACTAATCTCGACAACACGCCGAACTGCTTCGTAAGTCCACCGAGTTTTACAGGCTCTGACTTAACTTTGAAGTGAGCCAAACGGCGGGTCAAGTCAGACACGCCGACCTCTTCAGCGATTCGCCGACTGACCATTTTACTCGCCAATCTGTATTTTCCAAACACTTTCAGCTTCTAAATTTGTGCCACTAACACACCATTGTTTATAAAAGCAAAATAAAGCATTTAAAACCTTGGGTTGCCTTCCAATAAGCGCTTTTTTTAACGTCATGGCACGACGCGAGTCCCCAATCACATTATATTGGTGGGGTTGTCCCTAGTTTTACTAGGTAATCCCAATAGTTCATTTGGGCAAAGAGGAGGCACTGCATTATTCAGGAGTGTCCTGATCAACTGGATCGATCTAGAGTTAGAGGCAAACATTTGATTCAACACTTCAATATTGATTCCTCTCATGAGGAGGTATGTACCTTCCTTGACTCTTGCACTGGTTTTCCACCTCTGAAAATTTGGTGGACAACTCGTTCAGCTGAGTTGTCAGGGCAGTCAACTCGAAGTCCCTCTCGACCTCTTGGCTCGTTTCAACCGAGTTGTCACCATTTCCCCCAGCCATGCTTAGGGTACCTACCTACATCAACAAATTCAAAGGAAAACAAAACTAAAAATAAAGTTAGTTAACTACATCTACCAAAAACAAAATTCGTCTTAAACCAACAACTTTCATGTAACACCACTCCCCAGTAGCGGCGCCATTTTGATGTTTGCGTAATCAAGAAACAATTTCCGATGCAAGTGTCTACGATTGTACAATAATTTAGTAATACAACAAAGGGTTGGGGTTGAGTCCCAATGGAGTGGGCGTGAAAAATTGGCGGTTAAGTGCAATAGCCCTAAAATTAACCGTAGCTAAAGACTTTGGCGAATGAAAACATAACAAATTTAAGAAGGGTGATGCAAGCGTCAAGTATCACATGGGGTTTTTGTCACAAGTAAGTAAAAACAGCAAAATTAACAAAGATTTCTAAGTAATGAGAGGGGATCCTTGGGATGTGATGGGAATACGGGTTAAGCTAGATTATTGGGTACATGCTTTTGATAGAGAACTCGTAGAGTAATTATGACTAGGCTAGACTTTAAGGGGGTAAGCTCTCTCTCGAGCAACTTACCCCATTTCAAGCGGGTTCCTCTTGAGCTGAACCTCTCGAGAAAAGTCTCCGCCTTAACCCACTCACTCTCTCGAGCTGAGTGTGTGGAAATGGGACTAGGGTTCATTCTCTCGAGCTGAACCTCTTGTCGATCCACTCGCACTGCCATCAATATAGTGGTCTTAGTTTTATGACCTCTCTCTCGAGCAAGCCAAAAACACATATATGAGATTATATTTGCAACTACAACCTCATTAAGTTCATCCACAACCACTAAAAGAAATCACATTTAAAATACAAATAGACTATCAGCAAGCAAGACCCAACAACTAATCTAACTCATATTCACAAAATCACACTCCAAGAGTTGGGGTTTTACCTACGCATGTAAAAGAGACAAAGAAGTATACCAATATCAGTTTCCATCAATGGGTATGCAAGATTAAGTCTTAAAACAAGCCAAAAGTGAAGAACCCAAGAGTCCAAAGTCCAATTTCTTGAAGATGAAACCCTTGAAAGATCCAAGTTCTTCAAAACCTTCTCCAAAACTTAGAGAGAATATCTCAAAAAACTCTGTCTAAAACTTAATAATCTAAAAACTAGGTAAAACAAGGTAAAATTCGCTCCTAAGAATAAAAACTGAACTAGTATTTATAGTTTTTAGAAAATGTGCTACGAAGGATCTTTCAGCGACAGTTGTGGTAATCGCCGATGCATTCGCCGATCCACCATTTGGTATACTTTGTCGCCTTTCATCAGTTCCCTTCAGCATCTTTATGTCCTGGATAATTGGGCGATGTAGCAGTGCTTCGCAGAGTCGGTCAGTGTTATGCCGACTACTCATTTTCACCGCCGATTTTTTCCTTTCCTTCAAGGCTCAGCACACTGGAACAAAAGGCGAATATGCGATATGTTGGTGTTTCACCGAATGGTATCGGCGATTCGCAGATCTTTGTTTCTTCGTTCTTGCGGCTTCTTTTGCTTCTTTTTGCTAAGTAGTATCCATGCTTTGCCACAAACTTCAAATATCTGAAACTCAAAGGTTGTCATTAGATATCGGGATAAATCATGCATTTGAGGACACTAATTTCATCAAAATATAGCCCTAAATGAGTCCAAATCGTGGACTCATCACTTTTAAAAAGTTTATTATTCTTGCATGATTTTGTTCTAAGAGTTTTCATTTCATAGGCTGAAACACTTGAGGATTTATTGAGTGGAAAACTGCACTTGAAGAGGCTTTGGCAAGTGCACCTAGTGTTGATCTTATAACTGGACAAAATGAAGTATCTAGCAATGATCAGTGTAGTGTAGTTGACATGTCAACCGAATTGTGTAAGTTTCTCATTCATATGTTCATAAACCTCTAATGTACATCTATCAATTAGAAGACAAAAATGTATTCAATAGGTTCCAATCAAATAGTTGTATAGACATTTCATTTACACGCCAGTTCTTAGAAAAATTATAAGTTTCATTATGCGTGTTTTTTTTTATATATATGTTATAGCATTCATGATTTTGTGTACATCTATTTGTGTATATTGTTGTGATATTGTTTATATTTTTTCTGCAAATTTGAATTGATTGACTGGACACACGACAGAGTTAATAATAGACTAGAGATATAGAGACAAATCCTAGAGTCTAAACTCTTTATGCATAGTAAGCCTAAAGGATAGTACTTGGAGTTCACGTTTAATGTTGCATAACATGAGGAAGATGGGGAAGTGATGATTGATACACAAATAATCTAGAAAGGAGGAAACTCCAAGTACCTTGAGTCTATTATTCAAGGAAATAGGGTGATCAACGAGGATGTCATACATCATATTTGAGGCAGGTGGATAAAATAGAGGATCGTTGTCAAGCCCTGAGCTTACACCTTGGACGTGGCTAGAACTCGAGAACCATTGTTGGTCCGCAAGCGAACCCTTGGCCTGGATGACAACTTAGCGAAAGACTTGATCAACCAATGATAGGCTCAAAACATAATTAAATCAATTAAACTCAAATATTCATCTCATAAAGTCTAGAACATACTCAATAGCAATACTTATAGTTTGTAAAAAAACTCAAAAGAAAGTAAATACTAAGAGACACCTTGACTTTGTCTATCTATGAAGCCTCTACTATTAAAGAAGGATGTCAAAACAATACCTACAACATCTTAAAACTACTAACTAGAAAGTAAATGTGGAGTCCTCCAAATTGCAAAGAGGCTCACCAAGAGCTAGCTGAAGTATAGAGTAATCTCAACGAAGCACATATTAGTGATCATAAATACTTGTATTTGCATCATAAAAAGATGCAAGCCAAATGACATCCCTACATTGAATTTACGAGTATCTAATATAGCCGAAGTGAAATAACTAAATGAAAGGACTGCAACGGACAAAGTATACTCAAGCTAGATGTAAAGAAATAAAGGAGCCAAATAATTTAAAACTTTACAAAATGCTTACGCATCTCTGAACTCACAATAATAAGTGATACATTAAAATATACTTTAACTCTATTGGGAGATTCTCTAACCGACAACCATCACTATGAGCTGTGTGATTAGACAGTATCCCACCCACGCTGCCAGAACTTTTCTATACCGTACCGAGGTATAAAACCTCTCAAATAAGTGGATCCACTAAGCAACAAGGATTCATCTAAAAAGTATGATCTTATACCATGTAGGCAAGACATGGTTTATGAGGATTTTGAGCTATCTGAACTCATCCCCATATCGGTGCTCAATATTACTCCCAATAATATATATATATATATATATATATATATATAGTCTTTCTCAAATGCATAAAACATACTCTTTCTCTATTTTGAGATAATTACTCAAACTATCCTCTTAAAAGAGGTAACTACTCTGAAATATCTTTGAACTCATACACTCATTCAGAAATCAAAGTTTCTCTTTTGTCAATATAACCAAATGATACATTTAGGACTACTCAGTTTCCTTAAAATTTACTAAAAAAATCTCATAGGACTACTCAATTCCCTTAAACTTTACTCAAAAATTCTCTTTAAACTCTACTCAAACTCTACTTTACTTTCTTAGAAGAAAATAGTTTAAAACAAATGTTTATTGTTATTTGATCATTGATGAATCTAGAAGTCATACTGTATAATCATTGATGACATATCTAGATGTCATGCTGCATACACATTGATGGCGTACTCGACTATCATACTAATCATGAATTATAGTTCTCTTCTTAATGTAAAAAAATTACTTTTGGAACCATTTGTGTTCCCTTAAACTCTTTTCAAAAGATAATTTAAGATACTCTTGGTCAAATCTTGGTTAAAACTCTTTCTCAAAAATTATCTTGGCTTTCTTAGGAAATCAGTTTAAGACAAAAATGTTTGCTTTAAAAGATTATCAAAAATTAAAACTCAAAATAGGGTTCATGCTGAAACATAGACATGAACGAATCAACTCAAGAATCTCAATAACACTATAGAAAAACTCAATACTCAAAACTTAACATCAAATCATCTCAAGAATACCCAAATCTAAAGATAGAATCCTAGATTTACTTGTTTACTTTTGTCAAACAAATATTCTCTTTCTTCATGTAAAAATGAAACATTTGGGAATCATATAGTTCCCTTAACTTTAACCCATAAATTAGAGTTCATGTGGAATATAAACATGAAAAAAAACTTAAGGATATCAATATTTGATAATATACATAACAGCTTGTGATCAAGGATTTAGAAATCAAAATCAATAACATAACTCATACAAAGAATTCTCGAAATTAAGGGTATAACCCTAGATTAAACTTTTACTGACTGAATTGAGATGTAGGTATGAGGACGAACTCAGTCCATCACTGATAATAGACTTACATGCATTGAAAACAAAGTTTCCTTGAAAAATCTTTAAAAATAACTTGATTAGAAGCCTTGAAACCCTAACTTGAAGGAGAACAGTCAAGAAAACTTTTCTTGAGATTCTTGAATTAGTTCTTGAAAACCATATGACCAAGAATTAAGATTTATATTATTCATTCATAATTATATAAAGGAATTTGAGTTAGAAAGAATTAAATTCTTGGAAAAAGATTTATATTGAAGAAGAATCTTGAAGGGAAGTATTATGCTTTGATTTTCCTTAAGGTTTGAGAGAGAAGAGAATGGGGAATTAAGAGATGAAATTTTGATTGTTTTGGGCCTTTAATTAGTGAAGAAATTCGTTTAGGGTTTTATTAGAGGTAAAAAGCATAAAACAACCTTTTTTTAATGTTTTATTGTCGGCTAATTTGTCACTACACTATATAAGGTTACTAAAATGATCATAAGTATTTACTCGCACCTCGGTTTGACACAAAATTGGTGGCATTGGAAAAAAGTTTCAAATGTATTTAATATGATAGATTATGGGCCACATAAATCTTTATATGCTAAGAGATATGGTCGTTTGAACTTAACCTAAGTAGAATCTTACATCAAAATTTTATCGGTATGGAAGCTTTCAACTCAACTTTGTGCTTGGGGATTCTAGTGACCTTAATTAATCGAAATCCATTTCCACACTAAAGAATTAACCTTTTCACATATGAGCGATTTAAGAATCACCCGATATCACCTTACATGTAAAATGAAGAATATTTCCAGTCTTAATGTAGTGTCACAACCCAAAGTACACCCTAGACATGACATGGTGTATATGACCCCGAGAGGCCCTACAAAAGTTACTTAGCATACATCACACAAAATAATAGAAACAAGAGAGTTCAAAAGTAGCATTTCAAAATAAAATGGTTTGATAAAATGTAGCAGAAGTCTAAGCATAAGTCTCAAAGCCATCTATTATAGCAAATGAGTGATTAGGACGTAACCCATACATCACATACAATATCCGAAAAGAAAATACATGAAAGAAATAAAAGAGTCTTGACCTTCGGAACATGATGCCTCACCAATCTTCGATATCTATATGAGATCACTAGCCACGAGTATGAGAGGTAGGAGCGTTGGACTCTACATTAGTGAAACAATGTAGGCAAAAGTATGTGTTAGTAAATGTACCAAGTATGATACCAATGCATAAGAGTTATGAAATCATGCTAAAACGACTTTATATGACATGCAATGACCAAGCTAAATCATAAAATAACATGTTAGAAAACATAAGTCGTAACCATGGTCAATGCAAGCTAACATCTTTAAAACACCTTTAAGATACTTTTATAAAGTAACTTTAATTCAATATTGTGGGAGTTTTACCTTTAACCTACATAGATCACGTGAGCTATAACATGGAATGTGCTGTCTATTCCATACCGAAAAGATATTTCCTTACTTGCCAAGGTAAGAACCATGAACTTCTAGCTTAGATGGATTCACTAGATAATGTCTATCTAAGACAAACCTATGGTGGCACATAGTTATGGGACATGGGTAATCTCTTCTTGTCTTATCATCCATGGAAGGGCAAATCAAGTAGCCAATCCAAGCTAGAATACATTAGAATACCTCTTTAATCTTGATTCATCTTAGGTGAGAAAACCTTCAACCTTATGAATCATTTATGTGTGAAAAACCTTTCACAATCATGTTTGAGTAGTATGTGAGAAATCCTTTCACAATAACAATAACAACATCGATGCTTTACTCTCAAAGCAACCTAAAATAATTTTCCTCAATTTCATATAGAGACATGGATATCTTTATAATTTTTCTTTCATAATTCAAAAGCTTCATCATATGATCAAAATCTAGAAATCATAGATCATGCATGGGCTGATGTGAATTCAACTTAGAAACATGTAATTATCTCAATTCATGCATAACAAGACATAAAACAATCAATTAGATCCTAATTGAAAAGAAACAATGAGATTGAATGAAATTATAACTTTAATTTGATATTCTAACTTGTAAAATTGGAGAATTTGGAAACCCTATGGAGGAAAGGACTCCATAGGTTAATACTATCATATGTAGATGCCAAAAGCACAATTAATGGTGAAATTGGAGACTTGATCTTGATACCCTAGCCTTATTCTTCAAGTTTTAGAGAGAGAAATATTTGGGAAAAACTTGGAGAGATTTGGGGAAATTTGAAGAATCATTTAGCGTGGTTCGATTTTACGCTTAAAAGACTTATATATGGTCTAGGATTTGTATTGAGACGACATAGTATTGGGTTAGAATAATTAGGAAAATATCCAAAACCCTACTTAAAATAACTGCCAACTCGACCTAAGGTCTTTAGGTCCACTTACGGACCATCTTGGTGATCCGTAGGTCACGTATTGAGACCTAAAAATTTACCCATTTTTGATGGATTCCATGTACGTTCTGTTGGTCCT